TTCTCCAAGCATCTAAAGGAGGTGACTTACTTTAAGTCTCCATGGAATAAAAAAACACATTTTCCCATTATTAATACTCTTCCCCAGTGTTCATTGATCGTTTATCTCTTGTTACATGCTAAATATATGTAAATAAATAAATCAGTATCATTTTATTTTTACATCAAATTTCCTGTCTTTTCTCTTTCTGTGAAACCGGGTAAAACTATTTTCTGGGAGTGGGAATCACCAGAGGCTCTATGATATGATATAATCACAATACTCACAATACAGTAGTATTGCAGTTCTAAAAATGTTGCAATATACTGAGTATTGCGATAAAAATAAATTGCAGTATTTTGTGTTGTATAACCTTTTTTCAAATGTGAATTCTGCCGTCAAAGGAAAACTTTATCAACATCTGTTTCATCTAATAAGACAAAGTTTTTAGTCTGTTTATCTCACTTTAGTCATTTTATTTTATTGCAACAAAAAATATGTAGTAGACTGAAAAAGCAATTGATTTTATTGTTCAAGTAGGCTACCCAAAATTTAATTTGTAATATTAATAATTTGTTCATTAAAAAAATAGATACATGGTATTGTGTGACAATGCGATAATGCCACACAAATATATTGTGATACTATGCTGTATCGAAATTTTTTCCCCTCCCCTACTATTTTCAAATGTTTGATGTCTCATCCAGCACTCGGGGGCTTTTACAAAAGTTCGTCCAATCAAATGAGACTTTGGGAGACTAGCTAGCCACAATGATCATATAAAATCACACCTAACTGTTTGTGGCTTGTCGCAGCTAACAGAGCAATATGTCTATATAGTAAGCAATGTGTGTTCGGATATCAGTGGGCAAAATCTCTGTTTTCATCTACAAAAACAACATTGTGGAAGTCTAATTCATGCATCTCTCCCTCATTCTCATCCTGATCTAATGGCAAGAGATCTAACGGACTCTGCTGTAGCTTTGTATCGCACTAAACTGTAAGCCTGCCCACGTTAACACAGTCCAAAGGATTTGATTTAAACCCCTCTTGTAACTGTACACTGCTGAAATATTCAGCTTCACTGGGAAATACATCACAGTACAGAAGCTAAAGACGCCCTAACTTACATTTCACAGGGACTTTAAGCTGAGTTTAGTACCAAATAATAATGAACAACAGGGGTGTAGGGGGGACTGAGTAGACAGAGTACTACTATAGTAGAATAAATAGATGTGGATGTGGGGAGGGGCCCATAGAGAATGGGTACAGGGTCCAGAATTTTGTGCTACGCCCCTGAAAAACAACACAGGTAGATTGAGAGCTTGTTATCTTCTAGAGGTTTATTGTTTTGGTTGAGTTTTTCCCTTGCATTTTCTCTGTCTTTGTGCCAACCCAAGATTACTGAGTCACACCTAAACAGAAATAAATGCTCAAAATATTCAGCTTGCATGGCGAAGTAAAACAAGCTGCTGCTGCGTTACTCAATAGGTCACCAGGAGGTCCCCGGGCAGCTGCCCTGAAACCTCGACTCTCGACAAGTAAGAGGTGAAACACTTTGACAATGACTCACTTAGCCAGCTGAAGCTTTGTTAAAAGCAAGCTGTCATCTCCTGAATGAGAGCGCTACTGTATATGAAAATCATCCCACACAATTTTCCACAGCCGATGTCCTACCTAATACTTTCCATCAAAGACAACAAGCGAGAGACGGCAGAGAGAGAGGCTCTCCTTTAAATGGACGGTTGACACAACACAACAGCGCGCTGATGTAATTACAGTATGTGATCAGTCTGTGGTTGCTCAGGTCGGCTCTGTTTCCTGCCTTAAATACTGAACTATTACAAATGATCTTACGAAACAATATCCTTGTTTCAGAGAGCATTTCTTCATGTGAAATGACTACAAATCTAGCATTGAAGTTCTCCGAAAACGTCAGTACTGAATTGATTTAACAGTCTGCTAACTTCACCAGCTGAGACTGACGTAAATGAAAAGGACCGAGAAAAAGAAAATACTTTTTTATGACATCACAGTATTTGAATGAAGGATCATCTTGTCTGATCTATTTTTACATCTCTACTTGTGATATTTGCACAGAACACCGCGTCTCACACTTGAAACAATAAAGCTGACTGATGCTAGGAATGGAGCAGAGAAAGTCTCTTTAGTGTTTCATTATTTTTTCAATAAGTGGAATTGGAAATTTACTACCATGGCAAGATCCCAGTTTTGTGGCCATCAATTTCTTGAGGTTGGGCACAGAAACTAAGTTTCCATTGTTAAGGAAATGCATGCCTGAACACACACACACACTCACACACACACACGCACACCCACACACACACACACACACACACACACACACACTTGCATGCACACACATAGTTAGCGTTTGAATGCACCTTTTTATAACCCCAGGTCAGGTCTGTAAGTGTGCACAGGTGTCATAAATAACAGTATAAATATGACAGGTAAAAGAGTGCAGCCCATCTGGTCCGCAGCAGCAGGGAGTCAGGCGGCAGCGTTTTCCACCCAGACAGGTCGCTCTTTGAGGGCCTAGATGCCACATTAAAACCTTCCTGACCCATCAGAAGGTGCACAGGGTCACCTCCGCTACCACCTCTAAATGCTCGGTTCAGACTGAGCCAGAGGAAGTGCAGAACCTTTATGGTCCCATAAGTCCTGCTCTGTTTTTCTTAGAAGTCTACATTTTCCTATTAAAGAAAGTGCATGTGAATGTGTGGGAGAATGCACGTGTGTGTGTGTGTATGTGAAGAAGTTGATTTGTGTGTTCGCTCAGCAGCTGTAAAAACTGAGGCATGTGTGTGTCGAATCATTCAAATCTGCCCGATAACCTTCATTCATTTTCACATCGGCCTATCTGCTGCTGTGTAGGTGAGCTGATATGGTCGGTCGCCCGGGCATATAATTTTGCTTTTGAGAGCTAGTGGAAAATATTTCGGGGGAAGCTTGGAGTGTTTAAGGAATTGTTCTAAAAATAGCCCCCTCCCCTCTCTCCATTTCCCCTTTAACTCCTGTGCACCCCACCTTGGCTGTAACTCAAGGCCTCAAACCTGCTTCACTTTCTTTAAATAACACTTATTGATTCCTGCTCCCCCAACACCACCCCCAGAGTCTGTTCTGTCTGAACGAGAGGTTAGAAGTTCATTTTCAATCAGGAGTCCCCCCTCCTTTATACTGAAAATGCATACCAGTACATGCAAACTCCTTTCAGTGGGATTGCATAAACACATCAGACAGGATTTAGTGTATTTATCATTCAAATCTGCGTGTTTAGTCAAAGATGGAATAAAAGGTACAGCTGTTTTGGACGACATTGTCCCGTTTCCTTGAGGCCCTGCAGTGTCATTTCCCATAAAAATTAACTATGACTCAAGAAGTCATGCCTGCAAACCTTAACTCCACTTTCCACCCAGTGTGCACTTTGGTGAAACACACTGTTTGCAGCCTTCTGTATCTGCACATCATTCAACGAGGCTGCTTGGTGTCTGGTGTACGCTGGTCGCCTCTGTTTCCACTGCCTGCGTTCCACTTCCATCCTTCCATAAAGCTATAACATTTTCACCACTGCCCCACTTTCTGCTCCCTTGTATGTGGACATTAATGACGTGTGCAGTTTCATGGCACCTGTGTTTTATTAAAAAAAAACAAAAAACATTTTAGCTATTTCATCCCATGTGGTTAAAATATACAATAGTGTTTGTCGCAAAAATCCATATTTATCCACCATTATGAATCCACACAAGCAGTTGAGAGGTGACTTTATACCTTGTGAGGGGCAGCTGAGGAGTTACCAGTATCTCTTTGACATTATCCATTGCAAACACGTGAGAATTACCCTGTGCTCGAAGGCTCTTCGCGAGGCTTTATGCCGCACTTGAACACTGATCTCTGAAACAATTAATCTGATTATGGACCGGTACGTGAGTATCCTGCCTGCTCCTGGTCCCTGCCTGCATGAGAACAGTAAGCCCATTGAAACTAGAGAGGGTGGCCGGAGTGAGCCAAGCTCTCAGCCTGGGTTCTCAGACTGTCTGCCTGCTTTGGAAACAGGTCTCACACCCTAATCTGTTCATTGATCACCTCCCAAATCCCAAATCCCAGTTTGGCTGCTTTGAATGAATTGTGCAAAAACTGGAGGTCACAGTCTGGGTTGGAGGGTCTGATCAATACTGGCTGGGTTGCGCTGACCTGAGATGGAACAGACACACAGCACAGTAAAGCGGAGCAGTGAGGAGAGGAAGGTAGTTAAAGTTGGGAGGGAGAAGGTGGGAGTCAGGACGGGTGAGAAGTGGTGAGGATAGGGGGGTAGGAGTAACCTGAGAGGGACGAGGCATTCCTTGCAGGGCAGCTACATCTGCGGACACAATTATCTGCCTCGCATAATTATATCATTTCACACGGCCTCTAAAAGGCGTCATATACATACAGTAGGAGGAAAAACAAGATTTTCAGAAGGCTAAAGTTGGCTGATTTAATCGCAGCTCCGCTTCCTCCGAGCTGCTTTTGTCACCAAGTTTGAATAAGAGATGTGATCTGGATTAAAACTGACTTTATCTTCAATGTGACTTTGGATATATATCCGAGGCTCCTCTCATTGGTGTGCAGTGTAACCTACCTACTCAGAAGTTGCCAGCAGCCCCGGTGTAAACTCATCTAACCACATACTGCTATATCTCATTCTAGGGAGTGTTTTTCTCACATCTGAGTGGAGCAATATCAGCTGACACAGCCCACACTCTACCTCCCACAACACTCCATCCGTCACACTCATCCTGGTCTCAGTATCACTCGCGCACTATGTCATATAAGAGGAATCCGCAGTGGACGTCTCATACTTACACTCCTTTTTATTGCTTTACGTCAAGGCCCGCCTTCTATCTGTTTGAAGCGAGACGTTATATCATGTGTTTATCTGATTCTCTGTGGATTTCTGACAAGCGTGGTGTAATGAACTAACATCCTGTGCCCTCTCCTGTCTGCTTTCCACCCTGCAGGTGTGGCAGTGCTTGTATCTCCTGATATTCCCCTGCAGCTTGGGGTGGACAGCAGGCAGCAATTCTGCCTACAGTCGCTGCCCAGTATGGAGCGTCTCCCTCTGCAGTACACCGTGTGTGTGGCCCACAACGTGAGAGCTGCTCACCAGGAAGCAGTGCAGCAACTCTCCCAGCACAGCAGGGAGCTGCCCAACATGAACACACTGTGGTTAGTTCAGTTAAGATTCAGATTAGTGGTGACTTCCTCGCCTGAGGGGGCTTCTGTTTTGTCAACAGTGGTGCATGTGTGAGCACTGACTGAAACTTTGTGGGTATTTAGGGGGTCATAAACTAAAAATCCATCCAGGTTGTGTATGATCCCTCTGTGTGTGCTGTAGGCTGCCATTCTGGAAGCTGCTCGCCAACATGGATTCAGGGCCGAAGGTGGAGAGGGAGCTGAGGACCTTCTCTAATCGTCTGAGGAGACACCAGCTAGGGGAGGGAGTCATCAGCCTCAATGAACATTCCACCACCCTCCTCTCCGAAATGGTATGTTCCCCTCACCATGCTATCTCTGTACCACCAGCCTCAAATTCTCACTTACTTGGTTGAGTTAAACCTCAGGAAGGCAGAACCAAAGATAACACAATGTGTAATGTTCATCATGAATTTTAACAGTCTCTACAGAATCAAAGGGCAGAAATCTGAAGACAAAATAAAAACATCACATATTTTTGAATGAATCAAAATAACAGTCGCTCTCCCTACAAAAATAGCCTGTTGGTTTAATTTTACCTTTTTAGGTCATGCCTCATTTCAATAGTGTGTTTCAACGGAAAATACATTAATCAAAAAGTAAGGTGAAATTTCACTGGGGCCTTTTCCCACTTTTTTGAGACCAAATATTTCTCTTTCACAATCAGATTCAATATTTATCTGGCACTTGAGCTCACTCAAATAAAAACTACAACTCTCAAATGATCATTTTAGTTGCTCCCTCCATGTTATGTTCAATTTGGGAAGAAAACTACCTCACACAAAGCACGAAGTTTCTTTGTGTTATTGTGTGACTTCAGTGTTTCAAAGGGTAAGCTCGGATTTACTGAGGTCACACAAACAATCTGACTGATCGTGGCAGTGGTAGACCAGCAGCTTGTGTGTTCAGCCAGGTAAAACTGTTGTTTATGTCAATGGAGTCTGGCTTTGAAGAGAGCATATGTAAGGGTGCTTTACACCTGCCCTGTTTGGTTCAGTTTAATTGAACTCAAGTTTGTTTGCCCCCTAAGTGCGGTTCTTTGGGCAGGTGTGAACACAGCAATCGCAGTCAGGTGTGGACCAAAACAACCAGACCGAGACCTTCTTGAAGAGGTGGTCTTGGTTCGGTTACAAACGAACACTGGTGCGGTTTGTTTGTAGTGAGAACGTGTTCCGACCTCGATCCAAACCAAGTGCAGTCGCATTACACATTGTTTGGTTTAAATAAACAGGAGCATGTTCCAGGATTATTAATGCGTGCCTCCTCCTGTACTGCCTTAAAGGGAAATTTCGGTTTATTTCAACCTGTCTCCTATCGTCCTAAATTTGTTTCAAGTGACTAGTGACATAAAAATAATAGTTAGCATGTTAGCCGTTAGCCCAGATACAGCCGTAGCGTCAGACCTGTTAAAACGTAAGTGAACGGGCATACTTCAAGTGCAAAGTTAGTCCACTAAACAAGCTTTTTTCCACAAAGACCGCCTCATATCGTTAGGATAAATGTCAGAGAACATATAGAAAACGACATGTAAACATGTTGTCTTACCTTACCGGTGTGGTGCCATGTTTGTTTACCATCTAGCTTTGCTTTCCAAAGCGCGGCCGAAATATATCTCGCGAGCTCTAGATAAAGCCCAGCTGGATACTACTCCAGGTGGAGGTGTCTCGTCCTCGGTCACATCCAGACCTTAAAAATAAGGCTGCAACCGGTCCCATTCCTTGCAACAGAGGCATTCCTCTTCTGTGGGCACTGGGGCACAGCATTCACAGGTACACCACCAATCTCCAGAGCCACGCAGCCTTGCAGCAGCCAT